GGGCCTCCCGGAGCCGCCGGGACGCACCGGCCCGGCCTGACACACACGGGTCTCCTCAGCTCCGCCAGCCCCTGCCACATGGCGGCGGGATCTAGCGGGCAGCGCGTCTCTCACGCACCAAAGCAACAAATACCGAACGGGAGGCAAAATGTACAAAAACCTTGGAAGTTTGGATGAAAACCAGGCAACAATTTAACACCTGTGAACAGGGAGCTGTGCGCCGATGCTGCTTGAAGCCGTGTAACCCTGCCCTGCCAGCGGTGCTGGGATTGTATCGCCAAAGTCAAAAGGCAAACTGGGCCCTTCAGGGTTTCTGGTAACAACGGGACACAGGCTGGAGAGCCTTTAAACACCAATTCACTGACTGAAGGAAAGCAGAGTGACTTAGCAGGACTGTAGTCCAGTATTAATTAGCAGTGGTTGTGAGTAGTTTTATGGCAATCCTACCTAAGGTGCAAGTTTTGCTCCACAAACAACTGACACAGAACAGCCTGACTTGCATTCTGGTTGCATTTCTAAACTCCATAGTGCTGCTCCCATAGATTACAAAACAATTTCAGAAGCAGGCATGAGGTGTCAACTGATGTCCCTGTTTCACTGCATCAACAAAGATAACCCTCAGTACTGACTATTGCAAATAAACAAGGTTTCCTCTTCTAGCTGAAATAAACTTCCATTGCATTTTGGGCAATTCCAACCTCTATTTTGGTACGAGATCCATGGGTTTAATACCCATCATGGTGGTTGAAATTGTGCCAAAGGGATTACAATTTTGTTGCTGGGAGAAAAGAATAAAAGCCTGAATTCTTTAGCATGGTAAAAACAGTATGAATTGCAAGTCAGAAAACCACAAACTTCTTTAAAACTGGGCATTTTAGGGTATGTGGAACCTCCATGATGAAGCCAGGTGACCTGAACCATGTGGTACACAGCCCAGTTCCACAGAGGCCACTGCAGCTGCAAGTGTGTTCCCTGCTGGTACTGATTAACTTCCCCCCTGCCCCCCAGGGGAAACTAATGGGACACCTCTTCAGGAGGGATTCCAAACTCTATTACAGTATCAGGATGGGAATATAGAACAGATTTAGACAACATTTTACAAATTGGTAAAATACAATCTCCCTGAAAAATACAAGTTACCAGAATACATGATCATCAAGCCTGGCCCTCCAGGTCCTGTTTGCAGCTCTGCAAACTTGGACCTTCAGCACAACAGTTTTAGTTGGCAGGTACCAACACTTCTCTTCCTCATACAACTGAGGAGGCAGAATCAAGTTCAGCTCTGGTGCAGAAGCAGAGATGTCCAGTGAAGACAGTTACATCATGAATTGACTTTTCTGTTTGTAAAGTGCATGGTATAATTAGGATGCACCAAAAAGAGAACTAAAAATGAGCCCTTTGAAAGAGATACAGAGGGAGAGCAGAATGTCTTACACTAAGGTTATGTATTTAACAGTTTTACATGAAATATTTATATATAAAAACTTTAAGTGCTTTTCTCCAATTTAAAAATCTAAAGAATTCAAAAATAAGGCATCCAATATTTGAAAAAGTACAGATTTACAAAATGTGTATATTCTGTCATGAAAACTCCACACCAACATTATACACTTGGAAAAAAAAAATTACAAACAGGATATATTACAAATTTATGCAGCAATAACTTAGTTCATACCATGCAATAAAAAGTACGTTAATCAAGATACACAAGCTTTTAAGTTTCCTAAACTGGAGGGCTTAATTTTGGTTGCAAATGAGTTTTTATGCAAATTCTTAGAACTGTGGCACTTGAAAATTTCGGGTAGCCTTTCTTATTGAGGGTTAAATGGTACATGATGATGAGGAGGAGGATGGGGAGTCATGGAGCAGGTGTTACGAGTCGTTCCAACTCTGCTCGACAATGGCTGAAACTCTCTTCTCGTATTCCCGCTTGTTCTCCTGGTAGAGCTGTGCTGCCTGGCTGTTGGCTGGGCTGTTGGGGTTTGGTTCATCCAGCAGAGACTGTGAAGAGGGGAAAACAGAATGTGAGACCAACCAGCACACTGTAAGTCAGGGAAAAAAAAAAAATCACCTTCAGTTTTCAAACCACCCGCGTTTCAGGAAGGAGACGGGACTCAGAGGAGCCCGATTTAAAAACAAAGTTCAGCTATGGTTAGGGACCATAATTAATCCAGTGAACCCCAAGTTACACACTGCAGGAGCATTAGCACTGCAGACACTTTGTGCTTCACAAACCTAACATGGTCCTTTGTGCCAATTCACAGTATGATAATTGATTATTTGGTAATTACACTTCTATTCAGGACCAAAGAGGGGCTTTCAGGTGCCTGCCACAAAACATCATTGTAGAAACAATCACACAGGAGAGAGAGAGAGAAAAAAAAAAGTCTATTTTTGCTGTGCCAGGCCATTTTTACTGATTGCAAGTAAAGCAGGTTTCAGCAGTATAGCCTCCTTGAGGACTTCCTAAGGCAAGGTTAGTGTTTCAAGCACTAGGCAAATTTCTACATCTGATGCCCTATCCTGACTAAAAACAGTTAAAAAGGAATTAAAATCAGTAACTCCTTCCCTCTAAGTAATATCCAATGGCAGCTTGCTAGCTCCAATTTAGCCATGACACAGCTCAGCACCGTAGCCTTTATTTGATCTAAAAAGCTACTGCTTAGCTAAAGGAATGTGTGAAGCCCCCCTTGATACAGACACCCGCTGTCCCATCCCCGAGCTGTGTATTCTGGAGCAGAGACTAATTATGCAAACATGCAGCATAATTATTTGCTAAAATAAATACAAAGTTACCTGAATTGAAGTTAAAATAGAGGAAACATCGTATGTTGGACTCCAGCGATTCTGTAGAATATCTAAACATATGCTGCCATCTGCATAAACTGCAAGCACAACACAGGTCTCACTTAGAAACTATCAGATTTAATTTCTTGTTTGTTCATTACGTGCTGTTCAAGGCAGAGTGACTCTGCCAATGCAGACTGTGCTTAAATTAATGCTTTAGGAAAGAGAACAGCAGTTAGGTCTTACAATTCCCTGTAGTTTGATGCCTGTGTTTTGAAGGAGATCTACTGGAAGCAAAGGAACATTCAAGGGGGGAAAGAAGAAAGGTCTAAAGATTATGGCACTAGCACAGGAACTGTCAGATTTGGTTTCCTGCTCCTCTTGTGTGACTGGCCCAGACGCATGCAGAGGTGAGGGCTGCCAGAGAGCAGTGAGACATGTACTGCAAGAGTGGAACCCACTGCAGCAGCCCAGAATCTCCCAGTCTGGACAAACTGAACACAGGGAGCTCTGGTCCTGCTTCCACATACTCTGCACTAAGGCAGAAAACACTGACAAGGCTGCCTGGAATCCTGCTCCTGTCTGGATACCTGCCAGTAGACTTACTAGAAGAGCCTGTATGAACTGATCTGCCAGTCCAGCTCCCACACCCTTGTCTTCTCACTTGTTCTGATCAATAAAATCCCCAAATTTCAACCCCCCTGTCAGAGGCACATGGCCTGCACCTTCTCCTGAAGCTGAAGGAGTCACAGAATTGAGTCACCTCTGCTCTACAGGAAATGCTGGAATGGGCTTATGCTTCAATGCTCAAATTGAACTTACACCCCTTTGCTACAGAGGGGCCTGGAAACCAAAAGGCATAGTTTGTATTTTCTGCATGCAAGAGTAACTGGATCCAAGCCAAGTGCTGGAGCAGGAACTTTGGCACTCCCTCACCAGGCTGTCCCCATCACTGGTTTGAGGTGAGCCTCCTCCTCCTCTCTACCCCTACCTCCTCCTTGTGCTGTACTGGTTGGTCCAGTGAGCCCAGCCAAGGCACAGACTGGGCTGAAATGTCTCCCGACAGAAATAAAGTAACATTTGGCACAATCGGTTCCCTCCTCCAATTCACATGGTGGCTGCACAAACATGACTGCTTAATGGAAGAGGGCAAGAATCTGCAACCTGAAGTGCCTCTTTAAGCCAGTCTAAGTGCAGCTGCAGCTGAAAATGCTCACAGGCTTTGCTACTGAGGCTAGATATTGATTAGGAAGAGACAGAGAGCTGCTTCTTAATGGCATCATCATTCTTAATTTTTCATCAAGCAGTTGCTGTCCCAGGCATCTACTTAGGGGGTGGCAATGAACAGAGATGGAGAGCTGTTAAAGCCTTCTGGAGCTACACAGAACACATGACCACACCATCATATTTAATGGGTATTATGGCTAAATAAAAATTATTTACTCACCATTTGGATGGAACATTTTTGATAAAAACCGAACGGTTGGAGGCTTATTTGGATATTCTTCTGAAAATTCTATTACTAGTTTAAAAGTACCTGTACAAACAAACAGAAGTACAATCAGATAATTCACAACAAAAGGAAACCTTGAGGAACATAGACAACAAGTTAATTTATGTGCTCCATGATCAATATTTCTTCTCACCATTATATAAACAAACAACACTGAGCCTGGTTTATTTTCCTGTATTTCAAGTGATAACAGAGCTATGGAACCACGACTTGGGGACAGTGACAAACCCAGCCCAGCAGCAGCCAGCTAGGAGCCTGGAGACTCGCTGTATACATGTCAAAGGCAGCTGGAGCCAGCAGCAATTATCACACCACCCTCCCATTTTTCTGTGACCCAACATCTCAGTTCCATGGACTTCAGTGACTTTAAGGTGTTTCATTATGAAGGCACTGGTGGTACCAGCACAAACACTGGAATTTCATCACCAGCAATCTCAGTCTTTGGAGTTCACAACTGATTCACTGAAAACCTTTCTTATGGATCAGTGAATAATTTACTCTAACTCCTCCAACCCAATGCAGAGAAAAACCCATCTGCTGTCAATTACTGCAATAATACTATAATTATTAAACTCATTATTCCTCAAATGCCTAAGGGAGGTTCATTACACACCAACTTTCATGTTTATGTACAAATTTGGTATTCCCTCCCCCTGTGTTCTATATTCAGAACAATTCAGGGCTTTTCACCTGTTCTTCATTAGAACAGAGATGAATCAAACATGCCACAAAGATGGAACCAGAAAAGCACATGGGCTTGTAAAGCTCAGCTGTGGAGATGGGAAAACATCTGGCAGCAGGAGACCAGCTTCCCCCCTAAAGGCTCTACTGTGTGGGTACAAACAAGTCTTGATAGCACCATGGCTTTGCAGCACTCTGACCATCAACCATGTATGCCAAGACACTGCTTACATCAAAACATGTCTTTTTACAGCCAACAAGACCTTAATCCTTCACTTGCTTGGTCAGTTTGTTTCAAATTTTATACAGGTAACATCGATTACTTTTTCAAAGCAGAACAATGTTAACACTGGCAATATTTGTCAGAAGGACAGGATACAGGAATTAGCTGCTTACCATCTTCAAAAGGTGTTCCTTCTGGCCTGAAAAGATTTAAAAAACAAACTCCAGTTAAAAATGATAATTATCTATTTTGAAACATGCACAATTAATGCTCATCTTCTTCCCAAGATGTAAGTACAGGCAATAAAGTAAATATTTAGAGATGTATCCAGAGGCAACCTCCAAGATCTGTCATATCTGAGACACTTTCCCACAGTCAGTCTGCAGGTGGAGACACCTACTTGACCATCATCCCAACCAATACATGGGCCATTACGTGACTACACTGGAATTAATGAGCAAATTACTAGCAAGGATAGCTCAGTTTTATGGAAGGACACTGAGCCAGTTCCTGCTCTGTAGGATATGTCATGTCACTTCCTAGACAGAACCTGTGCCTCCCTCAGCTGGGAATCAATCCAATCACCACTAACACATCTGGTTTTAATGGCCAATAACATGCAGCTCTTCTGTCCTTCCAAGAGCAAGCCTGCTTTTTCATAACCAAACTCTTACACAGTCTAACCTATTTATTAAGCCATATGCAAGCTTTATTGAACAAACAAACAAAAACAAAGGAAGAAATGTTTCATTTTTCTTTCCTGCATATTACCCCTAAAACCAGATTTTTTTCCACAACAGCACACTTGGTCATTTTTCTAAGTCTCCTGACTGTATGTACATAAAAGAATAATTGTAAAAATAAAACTCAGGTTTCGTCATATTTAGCCCTTTGATACAGAATTTTATACTGATCAAAAACTCTTACCCAAATATAACAGCATTCCATTGCATGATGTTATTCTCAGATGGTGCACCACTGACACCCACAGGAGGGTCTTCTTGCAATCTAAGAATTACAAACACAGAATAACAAGGCTTAAATAAATGAAATAATTCCACCTGCAAGTTAACAGCAATACCCAGAGTTGGTCAATATTTTTTCACTCCAAATCAGAGAATGCACGAAGCATTCCACGCAGATTAACAACACTCCAAGAGAGAAACACATAGCAGGGTTTTCTCACCTATAACACCACAACACTACGATGGCCCAAAAGGTTAGATTAAGTGTTCAGGGAGCAAAGCATTAACTCTAAGAACAGTTTAAAGCACCACGTGCAGCTGGGATTTACAGTGCTACACAGTGAATTAGGAAAGAGCAATTGCTGCTGGCTGCCACAACGAAGAGAACAAATTACAAACAGGAGCTGAACTCCAGCCAGTGGCACTCAGACAGCACACTTGAGGGGACTAAGTGCTAGGGTCTGTCAGCAGAGCTCTTCCTGCAACCCCAGATCCATGCGTGCGATGCAGCTAAATTTGGAATACGCCTATTTTGACTGGCAAGGCAATTGCTTCAGAAGGGAGTGAGGGGAAAACCTGCATATTGATCCCTCTTACCAGTTCAACACGTGTTTACCTCTAAGGTAAGTCTGGAAGCATTTTAAATTCTTTTTAGCTCCCTAATCCATGGCCCAGGGAAAAGCACATTACGTACTGAAAGCCACACAAACCTGGACCATACAGAATATATGTACTGCAACCAAAGAACAAGATCCACAGACCCTCCTCCTGCCCATCCTCTGCAGACCAAATGTTTCTGTCCAAAAACCATCTGAGACCTTGAACAGCGAGACACAGCAAGTCCCAACCACCTGATGAGCATTCACCCGATCAAACCCCTTCAGGGACAGCTCCTGCCCACCCCACTTACTCAGCCTCTTGAGTTATGCAAGAATAAAGACAATAAAGTGACTGCCCTTGCTTCAGAAGCAATTCTTCAGCATTAACTCGAGGTCTGACCACATCCCAGCACACTGTTACCAGCAAGTTACCACCCAAAGCCCTGAAGACCAAGGGCTGAATGCTAACTAAATATGGGGGTGTAAATGCAGATTTATGCAGAGCTGACACTGGGACACAGCCTGCACATTGTCCTGCACTTGCACTGCCCGAGATCAAACCACACACACACGTGGAAGCTGAGCAAGGAGGTGGCCCTGGAGAGGCAGCCCAGAGGCAGGGCTCCCTCTGCTTGCAGCTCAGGTCTCCTGTCAGCTCTGTTTACATCCTCGCTTCCCAAGCACACGCAGTTCAGGATCAACAGCATAAACCACCTACTATTTTGGTCAGGGAGAGCAGGAAT